TTTTTTTTTTTTTTTTTTTTTTTCTTTTTTTTTTTTATGTTTGTTTGTTTGGTTTTTTTTTAACATATAAAATACTCACTTATGTATTTACCGCTATTAAATGCAAGTTAGTCCCATCAAACATGCTTTGCTTCGATATCAAGAATTGGTGCTGAACAAATCTCGGCTGGATATTAGAAACATCCCCCACCCCAGCCCCCCCGACCCGACAAAGAAGAGAGAAATATGGAAAATACAGGTGACACCTAGGGAGGACACGGTGCCGCTGGAGGGGCCAGCTCCCGGGGGTACATTCGTGCCTCAGCCATGGGGACATGGCATGACCACGCTCAGGGAGCTCTGCCTGCCTCTGGAAGGGTGTGAGCACTCCAGGGCTGTGCCACTGTCCCCTCGGGGCCATCTGAGCCCGAACAGCAGCTCCTGGATCCCCCCAGAGCCCAGCCTTGTGGGACACACACCGAGGGGAGCGAAGCCCCGGCCGCTGCTGCCCAAAGACAATCCCCAAATCGTGCCCCAGTGAAGGCAGAGGGGTGGTTTGAAGCTCCCTGGCACTGCTCAGTCCCAAACTGGCTCCTTGCCCTGCCACAGCCCATGGAGAAGGGGGCAGGGATCCGGCGGGTCCGTACTGCCCTGCAGGAAAAGCCCCAAATATCCCCAGCACATTCCCCACTGCACCAGGGCTCGATGCCACCTCACCCACAGGGACAGGGAGAGCCCCACATCCCATCCATGGGGACAGGGAGAGCCCCACATCCCATCCATGGGGACAGGGAGAGCCCCACATCCCACCCATCCAGGCAGGGAGAGCCCCACATGCTGCCCCAGTGGACACCAGCAGCCCCCAGGGCAGCAGCAAGCCCCGCTGGCCAGGGACACTCCTGGAGAGGTACTGACATTCCCGATGGAGAAGGCTCCCTGCTCCAGCCAGCTACAGAATCCCACTGGGGCCACCTGGCTGCCTCTGAGGGGCTCCACCAACTGCAGGAGGGTTTCAGAAACCCTCGAGATTTACGAGGGCAGTGAGGACAGGTGACAAACAGCACCCAGGGCGGCAGCAGCGTGGGGACCCTGTCCCCAGAGCGTGTCCCCATCCTGTGCCATCCCCCCGGCTGCAGCTGCCTAATCCTCCCTGAGCGCCCTCACAGCTGAAATTTGCCTTTTTTCTCTGAACAAAAAAAAAAAAAGCCCCAGACAGCCCTCAGTGGAAACACCACCTCACCGTGGCCCTGGGCAAGCTGGCAGCAAGCCCAGGCTTCCCCATCCCGGGATTTTTTCCCTTTTTAGTGTTTTTCCCTATTGAAACAGCAAACAGCGGTGATGCTGGGCTCGGGGCGGGCGGATCCCCCGGAGCACTGCGAGCCCCCCAGCCTGGCCCAGCCCTCCTCTCCCTCGCCACTGTATTGCTCAAACAGCACTAGGCATGGATACAAAAATAAAACAGCTATGTGACTTAGATATATATAATTTTTTTTTATATATATATATATTTGTATATATATTTTTGTCTATTTATAGGTGGATGGAGAAGCAGAGAAGCTGAAGCTCAATATAATGTAAAAATTCTTGCTCTGCTCCTGCTGTTGAGACTCTCCCCACCTCTGACAGCTTTTTTCATGCTGCACAGAAGTTTCTGACACCTATTACTAATGAATTATTTTAAATATTTATTCTCCCCCCCTTCTAAAATAGAGAGTAAATATATATTTGTTTAATTTTATATACAATGCGGTTTTGCTACACCAATATCATTTCTTTAGATAGAGATACTGGGGCTCATTTCTCAAGTCTTTTTTATTTTTTTGTGTGTTTTATTTTAATCTAAGTGCTGGGGGGGAGTGGGTGGAAATATGAGGAGCTTTCAGACCCGGGAAGATGGGCAACCTCTTTTGCAGCCCCGCAACCTCAGGAGAACAAGAATAAAAGCCCTCCTGGGAGAGAAAGTGTCATTTTGATGGTAAATCCAAAATCTGGGCAAACTGTCCTCCATGGGGATGCCAGCCCCTCCATCCTGCATTTCCCACCCCACTGCAACCAGTATAAAAATCCTTATGTACCTGTACAGCGCATGCTTGCCTCATCCAACACCCCCGAGCCTGGACCAGCCCCTCTGCCCCCCCATTCTCTG